AAGTTTGCAATGTTCTGTGATTTCTCATTCTAAATAATTATTCTTTTTTATTATTTTGTACTTTTGTATTAATTTTCTTAAAGAGACTTCTTTAAATTCTGACTCTTAAGCCTCTTAAAATCTGACTCTTTCCCCATAATAATCAGAATAACGAAATAAAAAATTTTTTAAACACAGTTCCAATTACAGGAACTTTTACGTCCATGCAATGAGGACTGTATGTAATGAGCTGTTGGATGGGCATTTTAAGCCATAAGAAGCCCTATCGACACCGGCCAAGGAGCCGTCAGTATCGGGCGCCACGTGTAACCCAGCATCAGTCTCCTGCCAGAATCTCCCACGCTGCCTGCTGCCCCCTGGCCCTCCCTGTGAGGGCCTCACACCACCGTGCGGTGCTCGGAGCCTGCATGCAAGCGCACGCTCTTGCTTCTGGGCCTTCGCTCCTGTTACTCCCTTCCCACGGAATAGCTCCCTGAACAGCTGTCCCTCCAAATGCCACCAGACTTTATGTAGAGAAAAAGTCTCTCTCTCTCTCTCTCCCCCCACCCAAGAGCCCAGTCAGTTCCAGTGTTTAATAGACAGTAGTTGAACAAATGAAAGAATAAAGCAAATTATTAACAGAGTTATCTCTGGAAGTTGGATTAAGGAAGAAATTAAGTCTTTTCTTTTTTTCAATTTTGAGTTACCCAATTAACATACAAATCGATTTTTTAATTTTTTTATTAGAGCAAGCTAAATTAGGGAAATTTGATTTGAGCTAAAGTCTTCTTTAACGACAACCTCAATCCTTGTTCCCTCCATTAAGAAAACCATACTTATGAGTTTGGCGTATATTTTTTTCAGACTTTTGCTTTATGCTTTTTTGTATCTTTATATGTAAATGTATATGTGTTGCATTGTTTTTGGGGAGGAGGAGATGTTGTAGAACTGTTTTCATACTGCACCTGCCACTAGTTCCTCTAAGCTAACACTATGTTTGGGATCTATTTACTTTTGTGTGTGTGTGCGCACGCGCGCACACACACACACAAACATGCAGTGTTTCTCAGTGGGCTGCATTTGGCGCTCAGCTGGATGATTCTAGTTTTCAGAACTGCATCATTCTTTGTAGGACGTTAAGCATTCCTGGACCCCTCACAAAGTGCTGGGAGCACCCGACCCCCTGCCCTCCTCGTTTCGCAACCAAAAATGCTCTCACACCTTTCCCCACGCTTTTGGTTAACTTTTCACATGATCTCGTGCTATCAACAGTCAGCCTTGGTCGTCATCTCACTGTTGGTGGATATTTAGGATGGCTCCATTTCTGCTCTCACAAACAACTCTGTAGTAAAGACCTTTGTTCATATTTCCTTCTGATGTGCGTGAGCGATTCACTAGGTAGACATTGGAAGTGGAATCGCTAGTCACATGTGCGGGGTTAGTTACACTAGAGGTGCTAAACTGCCCTCCACCTTACACCCCCACCAACAGTAGGCCATAATCACCATTGACCCCAAATTCTCCAATCCCTAAAACTGTCTAACTCTTCAATTTTAGCCAATCTGGTGGATAAAGAAAACATCGTGTTGTTGTTTCAATTTACATTTCTCTGATTAGTAGTGAGACTTTATTTGAAATATGTACTTCCTCTTTTGTGAAAGACTTTCACTTTCTCTTCTGTGTGTAGATATATTTCACTTTTTACTATATATGCTTTATAATCAGAAAAAAAATAATACACATTTTAAAAAATACCTTACATGTCCTACAAGGCCTACTTAGATGTTGGCTCATTCAGGGAACAGCCTTGATCTTTCTTCCTGGGACCTCTGTTGTGTGCTGACTCTCTCTTGGACGTGGTTTGGAAAGTACTATCTTCTCCTGACTACATTAATGGCTTCTTGGAACCTAGCCTGGGGCCTTTGCAATCTTGTTCCCTATGTACTGCCTAGTGATAGCTATAGATTTAAACAGCTGAATGATAGAAGGTAGAGAAGGTTGATTATGGGGAAACTACCAACTTTACCGAGTTTTCAAGCTTTAGCTCTTTGTGGACAGTCTTGAACCCTCCTTACCGAAGGAGACAGACCCCTCCAATGGATACGTAATGTTGTTGGATCCATAGTCCCTGCCCTGCAAGATGTGCTGTCCAAAGTTTCTAAGACAGGAGCGCTTAACTCGATTAAAAGAGGAAGTGTAGGCATTTATGGAGGAGCTCTTTGGGGAATGTGGATCCTCCTGGCCTCACAGACGCCATGAAGGGTCGGTGGCTGCCTGGCAGGCTCTGTCGTCAGTTTGCCCAGGCCCGGGACTCCATAAGAGATGGCAATATTGACTCAACCAAGTGGTCAACCAAAATTTAACACTCAGAGCACAGTGCGATTCTTTTTGCTTTATATGCAAGCATTTCTCATGTGTTTATTATGTGAATTATGTTTATTATGTGGTTATTATATGAAAGATCACCATAAAAAGGTCCTTGGTAAAAATTTCCATCAAACTATAATTATGAGAAGAATTCTATAAATGCTTTATTAAACACAGACTTCAGATCTCATTGAAAAGAATCCAAAAGAATGTCCAAATGCTTTACGTTTTTGAATTTTTTTGATCAAATATTGTTGTTTCAAATAAGTGCTGTATCAGCTCAAGCTGAATCTTATGCCTAAATGTTCATCCAAAAATTAATTATGAGCAAAATGTATTTAAGAGCTTGTGGAGATCTCACCTATCACTAAGAATTACAATTTTGGCTATAGCCAAACCTGAAGTTTTTATTGCTTGACTTCTAATTCCTCCGATTGTCCTTTTTTTTTTTGATTATGGTATAATTGACATATGACATTATATTAGTTTCAGGTTCCAGTTGTCCTTTGAAAGCATTTTGTAGCGAGAAGATCTGAACTTGTCTGTGGATCAGTCATTTCAGTGGGTGGGGCTGCTTCGTGGGTAAAGGGTTTTCTCATGAAATATTTCTCCTTGCCATTATGTTCAATGAGCAAATGTATTTCTAATATAGGATGGAGGCACCTCTGCCCCAAAGAGGAAATATGCTAAAGAAACAAACATGAGGAAATGCAGATTTAGAAAACACACAGCTTGGGACCTATGTAGAAACTTCCTTCCCCAGATGGTCTTAACATTTACTTTCCATTATCAGGCTGAAATTTCATGCAATAAGGACGTCACAGTGGACACCAGTGTGGTTCCTGAAGGCAGGATCCCTGGTCCCCAGAGTAGGCTCTTCCTCAAAGTTCTGTGCACTGCACACGCCTCTTCAATAGCACTGAGTTCACTGACATCGTTGAGGTCATTTGGGTAATTGCCTGTGTCCCTTTCCTCTCCACCCCCCCGGACTATGGGTCCCTCGCAGCTCCAACTATTCCCGGTACCTATCTTCCTGTTATCTGAAATAAATGGAAAGTAATAAAAAAAGTTATATTTGAGCAATAAGAAAAATCACACGACAGAAGACACATCACAAGTTCTGGCCTCGTGGAGCTCAGTGGCTTCGTGCTAGCCACTCATGTGTACTAAGTTCTGCTGTCGGCCAGGCCTGTTTTGACCATTTCATGTGAGTTAATGTGAGCAGTAATCATAACTGGCCCATGAGGTATGACTATTATTCTATTTTAGAGGTGAGAAAACTGAGGCTCCGATTGGTTATGTAACTTGCCCAAGTTTTCACAGCTCGTTGGAGGAATCACCTGGATAGGTCCTCAGAGGCTACAATCTTAATCACCACAGTGGACTGTCCCTACCTGGTCATTAAAAAGAACGTGAAAGGCCTGTCAGTAGGGGAAAGGAGCGGGGTGCAGAACAGTGTGCCTAGAACGCTCTTGTTTCCTTGGGTGGGAGGGGCACACCTGATGCCTCCAGGTGCATACATAGCCCTGAGGAGGAAGCATGGGAAAATGGCCAACATTGGTGTCCTCTGAGAAGAGGAACAGGAAAACTGAGGCTTAAGGTGAGAACAAAGCTTTATTTTCACTGTCTGTTTTGAACTATTTGGATTTTTGTTCTACCGAGCATACATGTTACCTTTTCTAAAACAAGCTGCTTCTTTTTAACACATAGATCGATTTGAATGTCCGGAGGGCTTCCACAGCTCTTCAGATATTTGTCAGTTTGACGTGATGTTTGATGAGCTTGCGTGGCAGCGCAGCCCTCTGAGCCTGTGCCACACCTCACCTCACTCACGACGACAGGCTACAGTATGGCAGTGCAGTCATTCCCACACTGCCTGCCGTGGTGCCACACTCGCTAAAGAGCAAGTGAGAGAGAGACCAAAAGAAAGAGAGAAAATTAGCCAAAGCCTGTTCTTGCAGTTATTTTTGATTTGGACTTTTAAAAAAATTTCTGTTGACAAAGTAGTGTTGTACGTTTGGTTGCTTGGGCTGCTGTGACAAAGTACCACAAAATGGGTGACTTAAATAGCAGAAATTTATTGTCTCACAGTTCCAGACAACAGAAGCCCAAAATCAAGGTGTCAATAGGGCTGGTTCCTTCTGAGGGCTGTGAGGGAGGGATCTGTTCCAGCCCACCCCCCCACACCCCCCCCCCCGCCCCCTTGATTGTAGATAGCCAACTTCCCCTTCACGTGATGTTCTCCGTGTTTGCAAGTCTGTTTCCATATGTCCCCTTTTTACAAGAGGACATTGTTTTACAATCCAGTCCTATTGGATTAGGACCCAACCCAATGACTTCATTATAACTTGCTAAAGACTCTATGTCCAAATCAGGTCATATTTTTAGTTAACGGGGATTAGGACTTCACCATATGAATTATAATTTTCAGGACACCATTCAACCCGTAATACTCTGCTGCTAGGCAACTCTCTCTGCTCTCCCCTTCAGCCTTGCCCAGTGACTTCCTTGTCCTGAGGTTGTGTTTGAGAGTTTGGTCTCTGGGCTACCTGTGGTGGAAGTGATTGCTGAGGTCACCTTTGACAGGAAACCCAGTGAAGGAGGAGTCACCCTGAGGTTGGCCCCCAGTGAAAGTGCTGTTCTGTCCTTTCTAGGTGGTACCACAGCAACCTCACACGGCACGCGGCCGAGGCGCTCCTCCTCTCCAACGGGTGCGACGGCAGCTACCTTCTGAGGGACAGCAACGAAAGGATCGGGCTGTACTCTCTCTCTGTGAGGTATGATGCGCAAGAACTCCACGAATCCAGTGCAGTCCCGGCTCTTACTTACATGGGGCTGACTTTGCCATCACACTCAAATGCCCAGAGAAAATTCTCTTAATTCCTGTTAGATCAGCAGTTACGAGCACCCCAAGCTCTGAATGGTGAGACTGTGATAAACCTTCTTGCTCCTTCCATGGGCAGGGAAAAATTGTCAGAGCTGCAGGAGATCTGATGAGTTGTTTAATCCAGACCTCTTGTTTGACTGATGAAGAAACACAAACCCGAAGTGGTAAAGCGTCTAGCACCCAGTAAATCAGCCACAGAAACAGCACCACAATCCAAATCCCTGAAACCTGGCCCGGGACCTTTTCCCTATTCCTTGCCTCCTCCAGAGAATCAGAATGACCTGTGGCCGTGCAATTTTCATAATGACAAACAAGTGGTCAATAATGCAACTGTTCATTTTTTACTATAAATGGACCTAGCTTGTTTCTGGAGGCTCCATTTCCCCTGCATTTTAATGAAGTTAATCTAGTCCCTACCAGGTACACCCAGCCGAAAACTGATGGTCCAGTCCCCTCCGGGTTCTCTCCCACCCGCTCCCTCCTGCTGGCCTGTCCATCAGAGAGATCGACCTAGCCATGTGGTGACTGGTGGAGGCGTTGTCCTCAGTCAGCATCTGTCACCTTGGCTTCTGCTGGCACGTAGCACGTCTGTTTGGGTTCCCGGGCAGTTGCCCCTGGCTTAGACTGGGGATGTGAGGACTCCATGAAATTGCCCTCGGCCACCCACCCATTAACCTCGAACCCTTACTGCTTTATTACTGTTCTGAGGGTGCTTCCATATACTCTTGAAAGAAAGTCTCAGGCTCCCTTTGTGCTGCAGTCCCTCATGCTGATCTGGCAGGAGGAGGTTGTGTCTTGTCTTTTCTGCTCCACATGGTCCAGGCCTCCTCATCACTAACTCAGCCACAACGTCTACACTCCCTTCTCTCTGAATCCTCTTTTCCATCCAGCTCAGCACGAGTTTCGTTTTGTTTTGTTTAAATCTCCTCTCCCTCTGATAGAGGGAAAAACTGGCTACAAAAGTATTTCCCTAAGTAATTGATGGCGGGCTTCAATAAGCTCCAAAGCCAAAAATTAACATATCTTCTTATCTTTTCTTTGCATTGGGAGCCTCCTGTATTTTCTATCCTACATAACAATTACCCAAAAACTTAGTGGCTTAAAACAACCTAAGCTGATCATCTCCCAGTTTCTGCATGTCAGCCGTCCAGGCAGGAAGAAGTCCAGGCTGGATTCTCTGCTCTGCTCCCACCGGGCGGAAATGAATGCGTTGCTTGGGGTTGTGGCATATCTGGGGCTTGGTGTCCTGATCCGTTGTGTTCTCCTTTCCTCTTCATTCCTTTTCCTTCATTTCCTTGCTGCTATAGGAATAACTCTCATTTGCCATAAGGCTGTTGAGCAGGGACCCTCTCAGCTCCTGGAGGCCACCCCCAGTTCCTGCCAGGTGGCCCCCTGGGCAGTTCACAACACTGATGTTTGCTTTCTTCTAGACTAGCTAGAATGTGTCTTTCTGATCTCCTCTTCTGCCACCAGCCAGAGAAAACTCTCTGCCTTTACCAGAATTCTCACATGATTAGGTCAGGCCCACCCAGATAATCTCTCTATTTTTTTTTCCTTTTTTCTTTTCTTTTTTTTTTTGGTGGGGAAGATCAGCCCTGAGCTAACATCTGTGCCAATCTTCCTCTATTTAATATGTGGTGGCCACCACAGCATGGATTGAGAAGTGGTGTGTAGGTCCACACCTGGGATCCAAACCCACAAACCCTAGGCTGCTGAAGCAGAGTGCGAGAAGTTAACCACTACACCACTGGGCCATCCCAATCTCTCTATTTTTAAGGTCAACTGATTTGGGGCCTTAATTATCTGCAAAATCCTTTCATAGCAGCATTTTATTGAATAATTGGGAAAAGGTGTGTTCATGCCAGGGGCTGAGACTCAGGAGGCCATGTTAGAATGCTGACTCCACGACTCCCCTTCCTAGGGACAGTGGAAGTCCATAGGCTGCTGGAAGGGGCATGGGAGAAAGGAGTGGGAGGGTGAGGGGGTAGATAAGAGGGTCACTGAGAAAAAAGCACATTCATTGACATTTTTCAAGTTACTCTGCTGTGTTTTGTTTATAAATTTTCTAAATAGCATTTTTGGGAAAATTGCTAATCAGAAATAGAATTCTGTCTGGGTGGAAGCAGGAATTGGGCTTCCTCAATTGCTTAGGCTGTGGGTCCCTTATTGCACGGAGCTCCAAAAATAGCAAACAAACCTGTGGAATTATTGGGTCAAAGAAGGTCAACTTTTTCCCTATGCCTGTCTCATCTGAACATTTAGATCGGAAGCCCTTTACAAATAGATGGTATATATATTATATTACGTCTATATAAAAATATAAATTATTAATTTCCATTACAAGCCGTTGGAAATGCTTTTAAAAAGATGAACCATGAGCAAAGGTGACAAGAACTCAGAACAGCTCAGGAGAGGGTTCTTATTCATTCATTCCTTCACTCCCTTAATAATAACTATGGAAGAGCATCCGCCCTGCACCAAGCACTTTGGCAAGTGTTGTAGAAGATTCAGAGCCCTCGCCTTGAGGAAGGGCGCCTCACAGGGGCCATCAGACCACACACAAACGCCTCCCTGAAAGCCGGGTGGGGTAATGACAGGAAGGATGGCAGCAGAAGTGCGGGAGTTGTTGAGAAGAGAAGAAGCCAGCAACGCAGGCTGGAAGTTTCATGCGATACTTGACAGAGCAGGTGGTATTTGAAGCAACGCTTGCCTGGAAACAAAGGCGGAGCCGCTGCAGGGAAGGGAACCAAACGGTGGGAGCTAAGGGACAGAGCAGGAAGTCCCGGGAGGATTGCAGGTCCGGTTGGACTAGAGCAGCTGTTGCCAGGTGTGGTCCCAGAGCAGGAGCATCACTGAGAACATGTTAGGAAAGCAGACTCTCAGGCCCCACCCTGGACCCATTGAATCAGAATTCATGGGGTAGAGCCGAGAAATCTGGGGTTCAACAAGCCCTCCAGGTGATTCTGATTTCAAATTCATACTCGAGTTGGAGCGTGCCTTGCGCAGAAGAGGCAGGGTGAGAATCAAACAAAGTACATATGTATATATAATTTACAGTTTATTTAACACTCTGCCTCATTCCACAAATGAGGTGGAAAATGACAATGTAGGAAATCTGATATTTTATTCAGTAGGCAGGGGAACAGGCATCGGAGGCAAAGGGCTGGGCTCGCATAATTCAGTAAGTGACAGAAGCAGAATTCAGACTGACTCCCAAACAAGAAGATAGGATGGCGGAGGACACAGGAGGACTTGGGGAGGGTGTGAGCTGCGGTTTCTATCTGTGTCTGTTCCCTGCCGCCATAACCCACGCCCCTTAAGGGGCTGCAGTCGGTGCTCTTCCACGAAGCCAGAGAAAGCACAGGGAGATTGTCTCCTGTCTTCTATCATAGGGGAAATTGAGAAGAGCTCACTCTGCCAAAGAAACCAGCGCTTTAGAAAGGCCAGTGGTTTCAATGATTGTGTCATAATTCTCAGTTTTTAGAAGGGTTTAATGGTGATGCTAATACCTTGGGAATGCCTTTTGAATTTCCCTTCAAAAAAGTTACTCATTAGTTAAGTAACATTAAACCTTTTTTTTTTTTCCTTTTCAGAGCCAAAGACTCTGTCAAACACTTTCATGTTGAATATACCGGATATTCATTTAAATTTGGCTTTAACGAATTCTCATCTTTGAAGGATTTTGTCAAGCATTTTGCAAATCAGCCTTTGATTGGAAGCGAGACAGGTAAGCTATGAACGGATAGATGCTTGACCTATGAGACATTGTTTCAGGTTGGAGGAGGGACAAGCGGATTTCAATTAAATAGCTGTCACTTCTGTTGAATTATGTGCATATGATGTGCAATCGGTTATGTTTAGAAATAGTTTTTTCCAATTACTTGCCATATGCTACATTAGTAAATTGTATATATATATATATATTTCAGTATTTCAGTATTATGTTTAGGAGAAAACAGTGTGCTTTGTACAAAGTAGATAGTTTTCTCAGAATGAGTTGTTTAAGGGATTGATTAAAAGCACACAAACAATTTCTTTAAAATGATCTATTAGTTTTATAATAGTATATACAATAAACAAAGAAAGAACAAAGGCAAGAACAACTTTTTGATTCCTCATAATTTTAGGTATGGGCAGTTTGCATATCAGGAAGCCCCATAAAAGATAATTCTGAGCATTTTTTGAATAAAATTTATATTTAAATTTCCACCCAAATCACTGAATATTGAAAATATTGACTAGAAACTATTCTCCTGAGCAGTTCCTTCATTTCAATATAAAATTCTGTGTCTCTTGTGTTGGTTTCTTGTAAGTTTTTGAACTGGACTTCAGCGTAGACTTAAGAGGGAAACATCTGAACTTTCCTGTTAGAGTGGTTAGTCAGACTAGAAAATTCAAACTGAAAAACGAACAAAACAGGGTGGGAACAAAGGGTGAAGTGGTGCTCCTACAGTATGACTGACAAATAATAATGTACAACTGAAATTTCACAAGGTCGTAAACTGTCCTAATCTCAATAAAAAGTAAAAAAGCAAAAAACAAACATACTATCTTGGTATTTGAATTATCTGACTTGTTTGACTATACTATTTGAATAAAGTAAGTAAAAGATCACCCCTATATCTGTGATATTGAATCACAATTTTTTATATCCTAAATTACGATAATTCTCAGTTAATCCAAAGTCGGGCAATTCCAAGAACTGGCAGCCCCAGAGGCGCTCAAGACTTAGCGACACATCCACTTGTAGAGAATTTGTGCGCGCTCGTTTGCTTGGTAAACGTGGCCAGGGGGCTTTTGGTTAACTTTAGTGTGGTGGGAAGGAGATGCCACCATTGGCTTTTCCTGTTCTGCTGTTTCTGTGGCCTGGATGCGCCCTGATATGAATCATACACTGTCGGGCGTAGATGAAAATACAGTGGAAACCAGAGAATCATTGCCTTACTTTAACGGACCACACAGGCCTATAATAGAATAACCCAAACTAGAAAATTGAAGCTGAAATTTCTTTTCTGGTGGAAATTCTCCCAGTCGGCCCTGAAATTACTTCGCATTTAAGCAGCAGTGGTTCTCATGAACCAATGGCAGGTGGGGTGCACTTGTTTCCATTGCTCCTTTGGCCCCGGCAAGTGTATGAATTTCTCAAATCCCTTCACTTCAGACTTATTTCCTAATTATGTCCAACCCTACACTCCACTTTGTTCCGCTCTTGGTTACTGGCAGTGGAGAAGAGATTTTTGAAGCCAAGGACTTTGTTTTGTCTACCTCTGTTTTTGTCCTTCCTGTGTCCCCCAGGTCCTGGTATCGTGTGTGGCACTTTGGGTGAATGGATGAATGAATGAATGACTGTGAGTAGGAATCTTTGTACCCTCAAAGCTATTATAATTATCTTCCAGCCTCCTCTTCTTTCTCCAGGAAAAGTCGGCTCTTTTCTTTTAAATTCTCCTCCAAGACTCTATTTTCCAGCCTCTTGGTCATTCTCTGTGCTCCTTCCTGGACTTGCTCCAAGGTAGAAAAAAGGACACATTCTGCTCACCAACAGGTTTCAAAACGCTGTGAGATCACCGTGAACGCAGCGCTTTCTGGGTGAACCTGTCTGGTACAGATCCAGTCACCAGGCAACAGGATCACCTCAGACTGCTCCAAAGGAAAGGCTCTGTGACATTGATTTTGGGGTGACGCTAAGCTTCCCTGTAAACACGCTGACCTAACTGAAGGCAGGTGCTGGTTAATGCCCCCGGGATTGCAAGGATTTGTACTCCTGACTCCCATAGTAGTTTCCTCCAAAGCTAAAGCTTGCCGTATCATTGTCATTGCTATAATTAGTTGATGTATTGCAATGAAACTCAGGAAACTAAGATTTTTATCCTCTCCACTGCATCTCTTCTGTTCTGTTCATTATCCAAGAGGGAATTTGATGCTATTTGAGCCCCTGCTACATGCTCCTGGTACTGATGGATATGTACTTGACTTACTGGTTTCCAGCTCTAATTTCCCACTAACTCTACGAAATATTCGTCTTATCTGTCCCAACCACATGAAGGCAAAGCCACTGAGGCTGGGAACAAGGGGCAAAACCGATGACAGATGTGTGTTCCAATTTTGCCCCTCCGGGAGTAATAGGCCTCAAGAAACAAGATAACTTGCTGGAGTCATGATGACTCTTAAGCCCAGAAGGTCCTCAGAAGCCACAGAGACAGCACTGTGACCTATCAAGAATGCTGACTAGAAGCTGGGATGCCACCTGCTAAAAGTAGGCCTTTTCTTGTTCATTTAAGAACTGGCTCCTGGTGATCAGGAGACCTGCAGGCTGATGGTTCCTTGTTCACTATCAGATGAAGTGCAAGTTCTTCTTAAAGCTTCTGTTCAGTTAAAGATCACCAGGAGAAGCATTTGCCTGCTCAATGGCTGAGGCCCTGCCAGGGTTCTCATCTCCCGAGGCCCAAAATGGGTAGGACTAGAATTGGGCATTTCAAGCCACTCCTCTCAGCCCAGACCCTGCTCGGGCCAGCCTCACACAGCAACACCTGGAGAGTGAGTTTATTTAAGAGAGACTTTCTCACGCACGTCCACTGGTAGGGATGGCATCACCTCTGAGGGCAACAGGGAAGACCTCCAAGCAACCAGCAGCCTTCCACTTTTGCCTTACAATTCTACATAATAAACGTCTTCAGTAACAGGAAACCCAGAACACTTGGTTCTGGGTCATAAGAAAATATTTGCACTCAGGATAGGTAAAAGTGTTAACCTAAGGGATAAATGCTATTTTGAGACATCTCTTTTCCTATTCTATTCCTATTCTCTACTCTTTAAAAAACTCTCAGGATTTCTGTTTCCTAATCTGAAGAATAAAGATTTCCGAAACAAGATCCACGCCTCTTGTCACCCTTAGGACGCTGTCGGTGTCAGCCCCTTCCCCTGGCTGTGGTCTGCACTTCCTCTCTAACGCCCATCGAAGCTTCTGTTCACTCTAATGTCTCCTGAGTAATACCCAGAAACGCTCTGAAGACATCTCTAATTCTCGAAACCCAGTCATTTCCCAAGTGGCCCATAGAGACATACAATGGACCCCCTTGCTTCATTGTCCTCACTGGCCCTTTCTCTTCTACCATATTGTGTACTTCACTTTTTAAAAGAAATTCTTTGCACTAGTACGTAAGCCCTGTGAGAGGAGGGAGTTTTTCAGTTTATTCTCTGATACGTCCAGCACCTAAAAGAATAAATGCTAATAATCATCCCCAGCATTTCATGCTGGGTGGCCCATCGCCAACGCCTGCACGGCAGCTTGCGAGGCAGCACTGCAACCAGCGATGACAGAAAATTTCTACTTTCAAAGTTGATACAAAGCATAATTTGAAACTCTCTTTTGTGTTGTATGTATGCTCGATAATGATTAAATTCAGAATTTGCCTTCGTTTCTAATAGTAAAATGATATATAAAACTCCTCTTCACATTTGTACTTGGCCTCTAAATTAAATGTGAGCAGACTTGGAAATTTGAGACATTTTTATTAGTGTGGATGTTTGGTCCATTATTAATTTTTACTGTATCCTCTTACAATTAGCTGTTTCATACATATAGTCTTGAAAGTGTAGACAGCGTTTATCTTTATATGTAAATGTCCAAATACTCCTGGAGTAGAAATTACCTTTCCCACCACCTTTTGTTTTTATTGCAATACTTTTGTATCTAGAATTGTCATATATGATTTATTACGAGAGTCACTGTGCTGTCACTTTCCTCATCTAACCGGCATGGAAGAGCGTGATCCGAGTCAAGTGCTGTGTCTGTGTTTGTGCGTTGTAATCATTGGCTCTCAGTTTTGAAGATCCGTTCTGGTTCTTTCTTAAATGTCAGATTTGCACTTCTCTTTTTGTTTTAATGTGGGGATTCCCAATCTATTGATAATTGCTATGGTTATTATTTTATTTTGTGACACCAGCCATTTTACTCAAGTGGCATTTTAAAATAAGTTAAAATTAATTTTAATTTGAGAATTTTGTGACGTTTCTGAAAATAATTGGTGACAACTTGGAATTTTGCCAAACCACAATCGGGAATCACTTCTTTACTTTATGTTTGCCAAAAATATAAATCTTCTTAGTTTGTAATGAGGTGTGTTTGAAAAGGGAAAAGCAGGCAAGGAAGAGGATGAAACCAACATTCGTGAAGTGTTGTGTGAACTCTCATCTCTGCCACTCACCAGCTGTGTGTCCTCAGTCACATTATGTAACCTCTCTGAGCTTCAGTTTCATCATCTTATAAAATTGAGCTGATAGTATAAACAGTTCATACCTTAATAGTTTGACTTTATGTGAAGATTGAATGAGTTTAGGTGTGTGTGACATTCAGAATGATTCTTAGCATGGCATAAATACGCAATCACTATTGTTTAATGAGGACCTTTTATGGTAATTCATTTCATCATATTATACACAAAAGCTGTACATTTTTGGGTGTATCATGAAGAATAAGTTTAGGGACAAGTGAATTTGCACTTATCAAATGTTTATGATGTCTTCTTCAAATTTTAAGCCAGTTCCGTTGTGGCTTCATATGACAGGCAGAATCCAATGACTTAGCCATTTTACGCCTTCTCCCGCCCTGGCCGGGAGCTGCTTCCACCTCAGCTCTGCCTCCCTGTGAGACTGGGAATGGATAGTAAAGCCCCTTCGTATGTAAATGAGCTTGATTTCACTAGCACCATTTAGTTAAATCCATTTGCAGAGCAGGTTGCAAAGAAGAAAGGAGAAAGGTCTTGAATTTTCCCATAAAGTCCCCTAGAAAGCCACTTCCTATTGGCAGAAGGAGACAGTGGAACACACCGTGCATAAGCCAGTTGCAAAGCCTGTTTTCTGAAGCTGAGGGCACTAATGAAACGTGGATGGATGTGAGCTTATTTTAATTTAATTTAACAAACATGCATTGAGTGCCAGCTATAAGCCGGGCACTGTTAGCCACTGACAATACAGTGACGAACTAGATACCAGGCTTGCCCTCAGACATCTAACCGTGGAGGGGGGGAACCTGATGGGCAGCACTAGCTCTAGTGCATAACAGAAGTACTCCAAATGGAAGTTCCCCTTCAGGAGCTGCGGGTGCCCTGCCCTGCGCTCTAGTTTGTTCACATAGCGCACCAGGGCCCAAAACTGGAGGCTGTTCTTACTCTTCTGAATTTCTGCTGGAACCCGAGCTCAGGAGTCCTTCCACGCGGTCTCTTTGTATTGCACACAGATTAGGGGTCCTGTAAGTTACGGTTCAGCCGAAGTAAACCAAAATGCTGGCCTCAATCCTGTTCTGATCACCTCACAAACGCACCGCCACCGAGAGGGTCTGAAACCAGGCTTCATTTCAAAGGCAGGAAGCAAGTCTCCTTCGTGTAGTTCAGAAACTGAAGTGAAACTTGCAGCCAAGTTTCCAAGACTTGTGGTTGCAGGCCTTCCTCTCTCCTCCCTGTACCAGCGCCTGCCCCCTGTTGCCTTTCATCTGAATCTTCCAACCAAGTCCAGGAGTTGCTGTGGTCTGAATATCACTAACCCGGAGCCCTCTCCGATGGAGCCAAGGCACCTGGGTGGAAATCATGATGAGTCTGTGGTGGGGCTGCATTAGATAAGTGTCTTTGATTGCAGGTGACAGAAGTCAACCCAGCTAGCAGAATTAAAAAAAAAAAAAGAGGGGTACAGGAAGAGAAGTGGGTTTTTTGGAAGGATATTAGCGTTCCCTCCCAGAATTTAAAGGCAAGCTGAGCAGCAAGAGATGAGAAGGACTCAGTCTAGCCATCATGGCGACTCTGAAGCTTTCAGCAAATTGAAATGCTGGCCTCAGTCCTGCTCTGATCACCTGGAAAAACTACCTCCACCGAGAGTTTCTGAAACCGGTTTCATGTCAGAGGCAGGAAACAGCATTCTCCCTCATGTGGTTCAGAAACCGAAGTTAGTGGCCCTTCTCTCCACTTAGAGAAGTAACTAATACTCGGGCAGTCAGTCCAAAGAGTGTAGGCCCCGGGAGGTGTCTGTGGGCGTGAGCCAGGGTCTGTGGGGATCTCCCTCTGGATGAGGGTGGGGCAGTCTCTACAGAAGGGGAAATCGTTGTAAGCCGGGCAGCCGTGCCACAGAGTCTATGTATTGGCCCTTTCTTGGGCAGAATGATCGTCTAAGGAGTCCCGTCTTTTTTTTTAGGAGACCAGATTTTTATCAGAGGGAGTTATCATTTTATGAGTAATTTGTCATTTTCTTCATTCCACCACTCAGTCTGGCATCATTCATGCTCTTACTAGTTAAAATCAGTCTATAGTCATTTCTACTTTCCTGATTGACTCAATGTCATTTCTCTCAGTTTAGCTTTTGTTGGTTACATTTTAGAAGAGGTTCTTGAGATGGAATTTAGACCCCCCAATGGAGATTTGGCGAGCGTACCTGAAGTTGTTCTGTCACTGTCCCAGGCCAGGTTGGCTCTCAACCTGGGAGACTGGTCCATCCTAGGCTCTTTGATGCCCTGAACCTGAATTACTGTGGCACCCATTCATTCATTCATTCATTCATTCATCAAACCTTCCTTGTCTCAGAAACTCTATCGGGAGGTAGGTGTAGAAGGATAAACTTGGCACCATCCCTGCTCTGGAGCGGCTCACAGGGTTTGGAAATACACATGCTGGAAGGGGGATAGCCTTCTATTACCCAGCGGTTACAGTGTTGCAGCTCAGGCAGCAGCCACCTCCCCCGCAGCCCTCACCCCGGAGATCCTTACATGGCAGCACACCTGGCCCCTACAGCTATGCCTGCCTCGCAGACTGACACTCTGGGCAGGATAACAGTCCCCAAAGATGACCTCAGCTCTCCCTGGACCTGTGATTATGTTACGTCAGGTGGCAAGAGGGAATTAAGTCTTCAGATGGAATTAAGGCTGCTAATCAGCTGACTTTGAGATGGGGAGAGTATCCTGGATTGTCCAGGTGGGCCCGTTGTTATCACAAGGGTCCTTATAAGGGAAAGACAGAGGCGGAGGAGGGAAAACCAAAGAGAGGGCAGCATGAGAGGGTCTTGACCCGGTGTTGCTGGCTTTGAAGAGGAGGACTGGGGCCACCAGTCAAGGAATGCAGGCAGCCTCTAGAAGCTGGAAAAGGCAGAGGAATGGATTCTCCCCTGGAGCCCCCAGAAGGAAAGCCGACCTGCCAACACCTTGATTTGAGCCCTGGGGGACCTATGTCAGACTTCTGACGCCAGAACTGGAAGAGAATACATCTGAGTTGTTTTAAAAGTCACGGAGTTTGTGGCAATTTGTGACCGCGGCAGTAGGAAACGGTTCTGGGAGGAGTATGCCTTGGGAGGGCCCTGGTTGTATGGGGACAGACAGGGGGCGACAAGGTGCGTCTTCCCAGAGCATCATTTAAAGCATCATTTTCACAGTAAGCATGTGGAATAGGATGAAAATTTAGCATCAGCCTTGAAGATAAAACACAGGTTTTCAAATTTTTTCTAAGTCGTGAGCTGCTTTCAACCTGCCCTGTCAGATGGAAGTCTTTAAGAGGCACCAGTGGACTTAGCACCGTATCAGTGACGACTGGACTGCTGCCCTTTCATTCTTAGCAGAATATTACACGTCTTTTTTAACTTAGCATTTAAAAATCCATGTTCTCAAAGATGTGATCATTGGAATTTCATTTAAGGATTTAAAAATACTCTGTACCAAAGCATAGTAACATCTAACATTTTGTAATCCTTTCACAAACTCTTTTATATGGTGCTTAAGACAGCTTTGTGAAGAGAGGGCAGTGATTGTCACTTGTCAGAGGAGGAAACGGAAGCTGGCATGGTTGCCCAGCAGGTGCGAGAGCGGCAATGGAGGCTGTTTCTGTGATGCCAGGGGGATGCCAGGCACCTCACTGGAGGCGTTTCTCTGGGGTGGGTCACACGAGAGTCAGTCCTAAAGTCACGAAGCATTGGCCGTGCTGTGGCTGTTCACGCAACCCCTGAGCCTGCACACCCGCTGCTCCTGATTCAGTCGTCGCTGCTTTCGCTATGACTGTGAAACTGCAAGCGGCGCTTGTCCTGATATGACTGGGTCTGTTCTCACGAAAGGACCACGTTGACAGAAGAGCACAGACCAAGCACGAGAGCGGGCCCGGGCTTCCAGCAACTGCAAAAGCCATCTTCCGTTCTGATGCCAATGCCACTAACATGAGTCAGATGCAGAAGGAGGATGAGGCCAGAGTCTCTCGCCCTCTCCTGGGGCCGAGATCGCAGGCCGTCTTCCGGCTTTCCTCAGTGCCCCTGTCCACTTGCGGCAGGGCCTCACGTGGGCTCAGCTCTCAGAAGCCACTGTGCTGTTTCTGCACTTAGCACGGAGCACACACTCAAGCAGTGTAGGAAAGTTTTGTTGTATTTGTAGGCTTGTCATTATTATGAAGGGCTTTTGAACTGCAGTGGAGGTCTTTTTCCTTCCTCATTGTCTCTCTTACTCCAGTTCAAGGTCCATACTTTCTAAAATCTGTCAGACGTCTTGCCTGACCCCCACCTCAAACCCCACCCTCTCCCAAGCCCACCCTTTCCACTCTCCATTCCTTCGCTTGCTCTATTAGTTTATCATAACGCTGCTCTCACCTGACCTATTCTATTTTTTCCATTTTTGTCTGTCTCCCATACTGCAAAAGTGGATGCTGTATCCCCTTTGTTTGCTGTTCTCTCCCCAGAGCCTAGACAAGTGCCTGGCACATGGTAGAGCTCAGTAAATATTTGTTGAATGAGTTACTGAACTCTTTACATCTCCCCCAGTGTCTGGTACAATCCCTAGAAGACCCTAGAAGAATCAAAAGCAAGCAGCCATGGCAAGGAGGGAAAAAACCCTTAGCTTACTTTTTTGTAGTCAGAGTTTCCAGTTTCTGATTGACTGGTTGGTTGGGGAAAGGAGGGATACAGAGGAGGAATGTCAGAGCGTTGATTCCGAACTGCTTGCAGCCCCCAGAATGGCATGCGAGCCCCTGAGCCCGGCCTTGGGCTGAGCCCTTTCTCTGCCTGGACCCCTCCCGCAGACAGAAGTGAGCAGCCACACGGCAGCACCAGCCTGTTCACATCATGTCCACTTAAGATAAGCAAAGGCTTCATTTAGTTTATTTTGTTAATTGGGTGCTAGGAGGCCTTAGGGAGAATGCTGGGAGTCCACTGCTGTGAGACCCACTGATTTGTTACACATTTGCTCTGAAACTCGTGACGAAGAGGGGCCTCCTCTCCCTCAGTGCATTGGTTGGGTTTTGTTGTCATGGCTTTTGGAAAGCCTACCTGGAAAACTTCCAGTTACCGCTTAAGGGTCTAGATCAATGTCACGTCCTCAACGACAGCTCTTCCCAGTGTCCATAGTAGGGTTCTTCAGGGCACCCGGGCGCCACCAGCATGCTTGTTCACGTCGCTGACGGGGTCTCATCACCCTGCTCATGTAAATGACTATCTGTTCCGTGATAACCATTGTTGGTTCTGTCTGAGCACCAGGAGGCCGGAAGTCATCTCACCATGCTTTTCATCTCCAGTGTCCAGCTTCAGCCTCTGGCACGCAGGTAGTACTCGACACAGGTGGAGAAAATGAGCAAGTGAATGCATGAAACAACAAGAGCCTTTGTGATCCAGCACAGTGACCTGGCTGTCAGCGTTTGGGCCTTTCTGGGGATACTATGTGACTGTGTTTTTCTGTCTTCATTCAGGCACGCTGATTGTTCTGAAACATCCCTATCCCAGAGAAGTGGAAGAACCTTCCATTTATGAGTCCGTCCGGGTTCACACAGCGATGCAGACAGGAAGAACAGAAGATGACCTGGTGCCCACTGCGCCTTCTGTAAGTGGCCATCAGCCTGACCCCAGCCCTCTCACTGTCTAAGAGTGATAACACGCAACGAGAGTTACACGCTTTCATTTTTAAAGATTGACACCTGAGCTAACATCTGTCGCCAACCTTCTTTTTTGTTTTTTTCCTGCTTCTTTTCCCCAAAGCCCCCCAGTACATAGTTGTATATTTTAGTTGTGGGTCCTCCTAGTTGTGGCATATGGGATGCCCCCGCAGCATGGCTGATAAGCGGTGCCATGTCCACGCCCAGGATCAGACCCGCTGAAACCCTGGGCCGCTGAAGCGGAGCGCGCGAACTTAACCACTCTGCCATGGGGCGGCCCCAAGAGAGGTACATGCTTTTTAAAGCATGTTTGTTCACATAAAAATTCTAACTTGGGGTATAAAACCTGCAGAGGAACATGAGGTCTGAAGCCTCTCACTCGGTTCTTCTGGTCCAGGGAAAATCATAAACAAATACAAGGTGCTTGCGATCAGATTTTAAATACTTAGAAGGCAGCGTGTAAACCCCGGTCCTTCTTAGCCGGACAATTCATGGTGGAACGGGCGAGAGAGGGTCAAGTTCACATTGTGGCTAAACTGTCATTCTTCAACAAGTTTCTCAGAGGAAGAAAAATGTCCTTTCCCCTCTCCTGTCTATGGAAGAAGAGTTTCCCCACCTTTGCTATAACCAGGGGTGTGGCTCCGCCCTCCCTGAATGAAGGGCGCAGAGGAAGACGTGGAGCCGTGGTCCGTTTCAGTGCCGCCGGAGCTTGTTCTTGCCAGGCCGTTTCTCCTGTTCAGTGAGCTGTGACCCTGCACAGACTCCGCTCCAGCACCCACTTCCCTTCCTTACACTCGGGCTCGTCTGTTCTTTTTCTCTTCCTTGTTTGCCGATACTCCTGGTATAAGACATCTGGATTTGTGCAGATGATGAAGAGGACAACACGCAAATGACATATCAAGAACTAATTCTAGACGGCAACCGTTACACTTGAAAAATAATCACTTGAAGATCTTCAGCTACAAATTTATATTAAAATGTGCATGACCTTTCTGTCTCCAGAGTGCTTTTCCTATGCTGCCACCATACAGACCTTTCTTTTTTTTTAAGCACACTTTCTTTTTTTCTTTTGGTGAGAAAGATTGGCCCTTCCCAGCCAGCCTGGCCCCTGCCGGACCCTCTGGGCTCACGTCAGGCTGCTGCCACGCTCACACTGTGCAACCTGCTGTCTTCCGTGCGTTTCTCCCACTGTGCTCCCTGCATCTGAAATGCTACCCATAGCACTGCTGTCCTCCCATCCTTCAAGACATACGTCAGGGATCACTGCCTTCCAGGAAGCCTTCCTGGGCCCTCCTAGCTTCCTTTACAAGGCTCCGCTCCTGTGCTCCCAAGCCCCCTCTGCTTCTGTATTCTGGAATCCTCAGGCTGGAGGCTAAGTCCTGCCCTCGTGTCTGCCCTCCCCGTGGCCTCATGCTTCCCAGGACAGGAGCTACAGCTTGTCTTCACGACTTCACAGCCCAGCCTTGACATGTTACCTTTTTGTTACTGTGCCACGTTACTCGAAAATAAAAATCTTGGGAACTTGTTAAGAAAAATATTTTAGCTTTTTGGAGTTGGAGGAGGAAGCATCAGACCTCAGAACTAGAGGAATTTAGGGAAGCAAGACAATAAATAGCCCCAAGTCAGAAGGGACCGAGGAACAGCTCAGGACCTACCTCTGACCAATTCTCTGTTTCCCAGGCCACTGACCCTTCCTAAGGGGCCTCTCTGCTTCACTCCACTGCCAGTCACTTCCACTCCTCTTCCGTGGGACTCAGTTTACCTTACCGTTCTCCTGTTACCCTTCCCCTACACGTCCCCACTCAGGCCCATGGAACCACACCCTCCTGCGTGTGCTTTACAGCAGTGACACGCAGCTAACACCTCATCTGTGGAGTTGGTCCAAGCATGAGCTGTAGCACGCTTAGGGAGAGAGGGACCTCTTTAGACCACACTCCGGAAGCCTTTGCTTGCTCCAGGCATCAGATGGGTTCACCTGCCCAAGTATCTGACTATGACCATACACAGAAGGGGCTTTTCCAACAGTGCCGAGTGACAGGTTGAGAATGACCGTGCTCACGCTATGTGCCACGAAGCCCGTGGAGTTTACTGCGCATTCATATAGAAAGAAAACTATAAGGTTTTCTAGTGGATTCTGAGGTGTCTCTCGTTACTCCTCACTAAGGAACGACCAACAACTGACCAGCCTGCTGGGAAACAGGACTGGTCTGATCAGAATGCTCTTGTCCTTTGCTGAGCACAGAGTTCTCTGCCTTCCCTTTGCCCCCAGTGCCCGCAGGAGGCTGTGCCTGCACCCGCCCTGAGCCCAGGGCTCCCAGGCTTCTGTCTTCTCTTCCTGGGATGCAGTTCTTGCACAAGCTCTCACGGAGGAAGAGAATTAAGTCCTATTTAAAGAAAAAAGAACTTCTTGCTTGAAGTGAAAATTAAAATAGACATCCTGTTGCCCAGGCATGTTGCTGCTTGTGCGAGCCTGTTTGCCATCCCTCAGCAACTGCATTCGGGGCACTTACTATTTACAGGTTTTATAAACAATGTACGGTTGGGTTCCTGAGACAGGATGAAATTTAACTAATTCATTTATTTTACAAACTTTGTTTTAAAGGCCGACCATCGGCTCAGGGCTGTTTTAAGCACTGGGGGTTGGGCGGTAAATTAGGCAGAGGCTCCGCCCTCCGTGAGCTCACATGGTGGGGTGAGGGGGTCTGAGACGATGATCAGTGTAATAATGTAAAACCAGCCAGTACTATGTCCCAGAAAGAAAAAGTGGGATAAGCGACGCAAAGGGTAGCAGGGGAGGCCTCTCCGAGGGGGGGACCTTTGAGCAGGGACCGCACTGAAGGGGCGCCACGACTCCCGTCGAGTGTGGGGAAGAGGGTCGCAGGCGGGGACCGGCACAGAAGCCCCGCGGTGGGAACTAGGTGGAGGGTCTACAGACCAGGCAGGGGGGCCTCGCCGGGCCTGGAGCCCGCTGCGGGCAGCGGCAGCGATGAGCCCCCTGCGGCACGGGCCGAGGGAGGCCTCGAGGGGCGGCCCCTGCGGCCCAGGCCACGCTTTGGGGCGCTGCGCGCGCGAGACGGGTGAGAAGTCGGGAGGCCGGCGACGTCCCCGCGCCCGGAGCTGGCAGTCCGCCCAGGCGATGGGAGCTGCAGACGCCAGGATTCCTGGCGGGTGGCCTTCTCATGTGGAGGGAGATGCTGTTTCTAAGGTGGTTGGCAACCCAGACATGTTTAAACGCTGGTCTGGAAAAAAGGGCCGTCAGTGCCTCACTCGTAAGACGAAGAGACACCTGAGAGCCCCCAGAACCGTCTCCGCGTGGCCGGGGGCCACCAGCTGTCCCAGAACAGCGAAGCAGGGCCGAGGGTCGGGTCGCTCCCCGCGGCGCCGGAGGCCTTGAAGGACGGGTCCAGAATTTACTTTTGTGCTAAGTGTTGATGAGAAATTATGAGAATTTTGAGTAACTTAATTTTCTGTTTAGGTGTTTAAATTTTTTAAAAAGATCATTCTCACTGCTAAGTGGGAAATGCAGTGGGGCCAAGCTGGAGGCAAGGAGACAGTTGGGGGGCTGTTAGAGCAGTCCAGGTGAGAGACGGTGGGAGTGGAGACCGGGGAGGACCCCTAGACCGCTAGTTAGAACGGGAGGAAAGAACTGGTCGCCTTCAGGACGTGTTTGCAGGTGGAAGGGATAGGATTTAGCGAACAGAGAGCCCAGAGGGAGCTGCCGCGGCTCCGATGGAAGGGCCAGGGGGTCGGGAGGATGGGAAAGAGGGCTCCTTCTGTTTTGGACCTGGGAAGTGTGAAATACCAGTTAGTCATGCTGGTAGTGATTAGTGAGATAATGTATTCCAAGTGCCTCACGTAGGATAGGTCCTGTCTAAAATGTTAGCTAGCTCCCTTAGCTTCCCTTTTGTGGAATGTGACGTTTTTAACAACTCTCTCCTTCTAAAGTTTCTGTTCCCTCTGCCTCTGTGACATCTTTCTCTATTCTGTTCTCTCTTTAACCCATTTTATAGTTCCTCTTCGGCACAGGTCCCTTGCAAGATGGCCTCTTCCAGTATTTTGTCGTTGAAACTCATCTCACAGTTAACATTGTGGAGTCTATCCTTCTAGTCTTTTTTCTTGAATAAATATATATTTGCTATATGTGAATATATATAATGAGCTCTCCATTGTAGACTTGCAATATGCTTGTTTCATTAATTGCATATTGTGAACATCTTCTGTGTCATTATATAGTCTCCAAAAACATCATTAAAACAAATTCCTTCGTATGCCATAGTTTGGATGTATCATAATTTATTTAGTGAATCCTCTATTATGCTTTTACATGCTACTTTTTGTTTTAAATAATTCGAAAGTTACAGAAAAATTGCAAGAACAGTACAAAGAAATTTATTTGTTCCTGAGCCATTTGAGAGTAAATTGCCAACATGATGTCCCGCACCCAGATACTTCAGTGCGTATTTCCTACCCACAAGGACATTCGCCCGTGTGACCGCATACAGCCATTCAGATTAGGAAAGGACCACCGATACAGCGCCACCGTCCCAGCCGCGGATCTCATTCCGGTGTTGCTGGTTGTCCTACCAAGGATCCCATGTGCCATCACGGGCTACGTGGATTTCTCCAACCTCTTGACTATTCTTCTCTCGAGAGCACTCACTCAATTTTTCCTAGATTTCACAACTTTGACAAGTTTGCAAACTAAGGGCTATTTTGTGAACTGTTGCTCAACTTTGATTTGTCTGACATCGCCTCGTGCTTAGATTGAAGTTTGACATTTTTGGTAGAAATACCACAAAAGTGATGCTTTGTGCTTCCTGCCCGCTCTCAGGTGGAACACAATTTCTGTTTGCCTCAGTACAGCATGTTCAATTACTTGATCAATTGGTGTTCGCCAGATTTTTCACTCTCAAATCACTTTATTCCCCTTGTTATTAATAAATATTTGATGGGAAGTTATTTGAGACTAAGCAAATATCCTGTTCCTCATTAAACTTTTATCCACCAATTTTAGCATTCATTGATATTTCTTGGCTGTTTTAATTATTACTATTATTGTTGCCAAATGGTGATTCTGTGATTTATTATTCCTTTTACATTTATTGGTTGTTATTCTACTGTAATGAGAAACTTTTTATTCTCCAAATTTATCCAATCATTTATTTTTATATCAATGCGTTATAATCATGACTATCATTATTGATTTTCATCCTTCAATATTTCCTGGGTTTGGCCAGTAAGAGCCCTTTTAACGTGACTTCTGTTTTCATATAGCCTCAGAATTCTTTGAGAATTTCCTTACTTTCTGGTATAGCAGAATATTCCAGGCTTATCTTGTACTTTTCTTGCATCCAGCTCTAGAATCAGCCATTTCTCCAAGAAATCCTGTTCTTTTTTTCTGGAGAATGGTACTTTAGAAATTAAGATCTGGGTGCCACATGCTTATTGTTATCAGAACGTCACTCTCGGCCCACTCAGGGAACAGAGATAGGGAAAACATGTATCTATGTACATATGTACACATACATGGTGACGTCTTTGTTTTTATTTCAATCTATCGATCAAGTATTATCTATTGATCTATCCACAGGTTCACATTGATCCCTCCAGTCCTAACCCAATTCCACAAGGCTCCTTCTAGTGCTTTCCCTTTCTGTGTTGAACTCCCTTTCCCACAGTGAGAAATATGGATCCCACTGTCTTCAGTACACTTACTTATGTGTCGATCGATCAAATAGCAATCTCCAGTTGCTGGGACCGCCCCTGCCTGGCCACTGCCCCTCCCACCGCCACCAAGCTGCCTGGGCTCCCCCGCTCCACCCCTTCATGGGGAAGCGCTCCTCGCCCTGCCAGGCTTCAGCTCCTCACACCAGGCTGCCGCCCCCACGCCGTCCACACGGCTGCTGTCTGCACACTGTGGGGCTCCCCACTGCACCCTCACACTGACACCTGCCTTGCTCTCCCACCCGACGGCTTTGGACTAAATTTAAGGCAGGCAGGCAGGCAAGGAGGGAGGAAGGTAGGAAAGTTGATTCTTTATTTTTAAACATTTAGGTTGTTTCCAGTTTGGGGCTCTTATAAAGATTTCTCCTGTTACAGACCATAGATTTTTTTTAAAGCTAAATCTGCATATAATTACTTCCTTTCTTACCTCCTGAGACCAAAATAAAATTAGTATTCTCAGCTCATCCCTCTGCAGCCTTCTGCTTATCTATCAAAACCTTAGAAAAATACTAGACTTATAGTAAACTGTTTGGATGAAGGTAAGATGGCACTAGTAACATCGCTCTTCAGTTTGAGCTCAGTGAATAATTCTCTCCAGGTCTTCTGGATAACGATTTACCCGTAATTATTTTGCCTCTGCAGATGTCAACCTACAACAACCCAAAATGTTAATTCTTGCGGTTTCCATAATATAATACCTAAACTCAATTCACTCAGCTCAGTTTAACATGGAAATAAATCAAACTGATTATTTGATATCAAATTCACTAATATTGTTAACATTATTTAAGTGAACACCTGGGAGTTTCATCCTTACTTTAATGCCAGAAGAACTTTAAAAGAAGTGAGTGTGTATTATTTCTTAGTTTAACTCCTTTTCCTGAGGTGGTGGTTGTTCCTCTTTTTATCTGGAAGGGAGAATTCACCTCAGAAATAAATACTCTGGAAACTCCCATAAAAAGAACCTTGACGTCAACCTAGTCATTTCCCAGTTTTTATTCATTTTTTTCTTACTAATCTAAGATATATTATGATATCATAATAGAATAAAATATCCTACCAGGAATTCTATTTCTTCAGAAATTTCTTGAGCTTAGGGTCCTTGTTTTATGCAAATTTCTGTTTACACAGTACCCCACCATCCCTTACATTTCATAAGTGGCAGCTAAGTGTGGATATCGTTGTTACCCTGAATTAATGATTTGCGAGTTAAGAAATGACTCATTCTCACTTCAAATCCCTTTTGGATAAGTCAAGAGTAGATAAGCCAGCACTTACATGATCAGTAAATAAATCAGGAGTCTGTTCTGTGGAATATGGGTCTCAAGAGATGGTCTGTGAAAAAGAAGGGGGGGGGGAAGGACCATGTGATAAAATAAATGTTGGAAATGCTGTTTCTAAGGTTCCTTCTTAAAAATTCACAAGGCATACCAGCATAATACGGACACTCTGGGAAGCTCTGAAGTAAAGACATCCCTTTACTGTGCTTAATGCAGAGTGCCCTAAATGTGGTGACCAATGTCAGTGCGTGTGCAGTTACGTGCGTGAGGCCCTGCGGCAGTCGCGGCAGCTGGGAGCCACATGACACGCTACGCTCAGCACTAACTTTTATAAGTGATGTGACATGGTTTATTGTTCGCAAATTGCTAATTCCAGCCAGAAGAGAGTCTGTCAGTTGCTACAGAATTGCCCCAGACCATCGGGTCTGAAAACGGGCTCTAAACACAGCGAGGATCTGCAGAGCCCAGGGAAGGACAGGCGGCTGTGAAAGATCGGAGGCAAACGCATGTTTCAGTTTAAACAGGACAGAAATAGAAAGACAGCAATCGTGTGGGGATAGTCTGGGCATCACCTGTGCTTCTTTCTCTTTCAGCTGGGCACCAAGGAAGGGTACCTCACCAAACAGGGGGGCCTGGTCAAGGTAAGTGGCGAGTTTTTGCTAGTGCTGGCACCAAAGAAAGAGGCCACGTCCTGGAGACTCAGTTCTCACTTTGACACTTGTGTGTGTAAGAGGAAGATTAGCCCTGAGCTAACTTCTGTGCCCATCTTCCTCTATTTTACGTGGGGCGCCACCACAGCGTGGCTTGTGAGCCGTGTGTACGTCTGTGCCCAGGATCCAAATCCACGAACCCCGGGCTGCCAAAGTGGAGTGTGTGAACATAACCATAGGCCAGGCGGCCAGCCCCTCTTTAACACTTTTTTTAAAGCATAATTGCCTATTCATTTTGACCCAGTTCTAATTTTTGCCTTTTTGAAGAGTTCATCTTTATGGCTAATTTTAGTCAAAATTCTGGAACATCACTTGACCGTTCTTTGCAAAGCCAAGTGTGTGAGCATAGCCTAAGGTGATGCTGGAGGAGACAGACAGGCCTTCTGGTCGGCGAGTGAGGGTGAAAGCAGCACACAAAATACAGAACATTTCTTTTCTTTTGAATTTTTTTTTTTTAACAAAGAAGAAATCAAAATTGTATAAAATGTTTTCCTAAAAGTAGGCCAAAAACGTCACTGGTACTTATGTAGCTATGTTATAAAATCCCAAAGAAAACGCAATTTAGGACTTCACACTTTAGCCTGGGGTATCCAACTGTCCCCCGTTTATGTGACTGTGCCTGTGAAGTTACTCGATTTCTTGTTAATGTGCCATGGGGACCCTCACAGGTACCGGCCTGCTTGAATTCAACCGAAATATTTAGTTATTTGTGTCCCTGCTAGACTGGATGTTCCCTAAGGATGAGAAATATTCATTTTCATAGCCTCTTCATTTTCAAATCCTCTGGTACTTCCTTTAACTGGGCTCATTGCCACCCTGGATAGGATTAAGCTTCTATCCAGGGTTAGTAAATAAGAAGGACACGGTGGGGAATAATAGTTTTTGCCACCAGGGCCCTGGAATTCTTAGGAAGGTTAACATATCGTGTGGTCTGATGTTCCAAAACCTCAATGTCCTTCTTTGTAAAACAACAATAATAATATTTGGCATTATGTGAGGGTCAGCTTTAATATGTGGAAACTTCCACGGATAGCGTGTAACCTGCAATAGGTGCTCCAGAATGACAGCTATCGTCATCAGTGAGTTAATACGATGGCAATTTTAGTGGTTATAAATCACCCTCATATTAACGATGGACTATTACTTTTTATTGTTTAAATATGTTCATGATATCTCTGCCTTCGTTATGAGCCTAACGCATGGAGTCATTTTAATTTTTGAAACTTTTACATTTTAAGTTTAATTTTGAAACTTTTTTCTCAGAAACGACACCACAAGAATATTTTATTGCACTTAATCTTTTAGATACTTTTAAAGCAAAAGGAAATTGTCTAGTTCAATTATTGCATTCCTACATTCAAAACCTACATGTTTTCATTATTTTTTTTCTCAGACCTGGAAAACAAGATGGTTCACTTTGCACAGGAATGAACTGAAGTACTTCAAAGACCAGATGGTGAGAAACGTCATAATACACTTTCCCTTTAAAGATCCGCTCTCTAGATGAAAGGGACGCCTGCCTGTGAGGTCCTGAGGGCTCCCTTGTGAGCACTGCAGTGCCCACAGAGCACTGGGGACGTGAGGTCTGGATTCCTCCATGAACGGAGTGCTTCTGCAGAGACGAGGTGTGCATCCCGGAAGCCTCGCCACAGACAGCTGGGCCGCCGCCCCTCGGCACCCCGTTGCCTCTGCGTAGACAACGGAATCGTCCTCTTGCCACAATGTGTTAACTGTCTCTTACAGGAATTTCCCCCTTTATTAAAAACATGTCCTTTTCCCATGCCCATTTCATTAAGCCAATTTAAAACTATTTTATTTCTTCTCACATTCTCTATACAAAATTTCTGAGAAAGTAAAAGTTTAAAAACATGAGAGAGAAATATGACTCCCTTTCACGTGTTAAAATCCATCTCCATCAAATTTAAATCAGCAAATCTGGCTCTTAATGCCCGGTTTCAGGACAGGCCAATTCCCAGAGCAGGGGTGTGGGACCTCCATTAGTAAGGTTTTCTATGTGAAAGTCAAATTGACAGTCACACATAGTGGAAGATTTGTTAGGGGATTAAGTGATGAATAAATTGTATATTGTTCTATAATGACATAGGTTGTTTTTTTTTTTTTAGTCACCAGAACCAATTCGGATCCTAGACTTAACAGAATGTTCAGCTGTACAATTTGATTATTCACAAGAAAGAGTAAACTGTTTTTGGTAAGTTGATTTATCAAGGAAATGTGTTTTTTTTCTGAGGAAGATTTGCCCTGAGCCAACATCCGCTGCCCGTCTCCCTCTTTTTGTATGTGTGGCACTGCCACAGCATGGCCCCTTACAGACATGTCAGTGTGGCACAGATTTGCACCCAGGAACTGAACCTGGGCTGCCGAAATGGAGTGCATCCAACTTACCCCCTAGGCCACTGGAGCTGGCCCTAAGGAAGTGTTTTTAAAAGTCTTCTTGCCAGACATTTATTTTAGCTGAGGAATACGAAACTGTATGTTTTTAATGTGTATAAATGTTTTGATCTGAGTGGTGTGGATTTAACCCTGGCTCAGGGCATATATGTTTAAGAGTGCTTTCAGCTGAGTGGGACATAATGCCTCGTTTAAGGTGGCTTAAAAAATAGGCAGGTCTGCTGGGTACAATTGTTTAGGTTGTGTACTGCACAAGTATGATATACATAAGAGGTGTCATTTACATCCTGAACAGCTTAATTCCTTTGGAGTTTTTTCCTGAGTTTTAATTAAAACTTTGTTCACTCCGATGATGGGTGATTTGTATTGTTATGAAAATTTCTGCAGATGGCACAAAAGTGTTTTGTTCTAACATAATCAATATATCATGACAATTTTCTAACTGGAAGAAGTAAAGTGTCTTGAGAAAGAACTATCTTAATTCCCCACCAACTTTTATTTTAAAGTTTTTCAATCTTACAAAAGTTGAAAGACTCATGCCCATATTCCTTTCACCTAGATGCATCAATTGTTAATATTTGCCATATTCGCTTTATCTCTATTCACTTTTTTTCCTGAACCAGTTGAAAGTAAGTTGCAGACATTATGGCACTTTACCCCTAAATACTTGAATATGCATCTCCTAAGAATAGAAATATCACCTGTAGAACTACAATACCATTATGACATTTAACAAAATGAATGTTAATTCTATAATATCAACCAATAATGGATATCTTTTTAAAATTCGCATAAAGGCACAAAATGAGCCAACAGGGCTTTGTATTTCTCATATCACAAAAAATTGGGAGGCAGGCAGCTGCCTTGACAAGGTCAGGTCCAATGTCTCCAGTTCTCTGGGCCTTTTCCTCCGTGCTTGCTACTCTGGAGTACAAGATGGCTGCTCCCGCATAAGGCTTCATGCTTTCATCTAAGTCATGAAGAAAGATGTAGGCATGGCATCAGCCACGTCTGTCCATGTTTTCTCAGGAAGGCAGACATTTTCCCAGAAACTCTTCTATCACACTTTCCCTCACATCTCATTGGCTAACACTGGGTCCCATGGGCACTGCTGGCAGCAGGGAAAGCTGGAAAAGGGTACTAGAATGATCTTAATTGGCTTCAGCTAATTATAATTTATCACCTGGGGTTCTGTTAGCAAGAAGAAAGGAAAAAATTATCTGTATAAATAGGCAATTAATTCTGCCTCCCACAGGGAGTACCAAACAATGAGACTTCCAGAAACCAGTTCTGTACAGTGTGTACACATGACTCCCTGTCACGCCCCCGTCCACTCACCCCTCACCTCGACCTCACATCCGGTTTACCTGCTGTGCACACAGACTTGCCTCTTGTCTATTCAACACCAACTACTGGTATAAACAAAATATGCTGCATAGGCTTTAGGATATAAAAACCTGTCTGAATTTCAGTTCATGGCTTTCTTTCTTCATGAAAGGGAAAAAGATTTTTAGTATTTTGCATCTCAACTGTTAGACAAGAAGTAGGCGCAAGATGTAAGTTGAGCTGACCTTATTAGTCAGGTGATTTTGACCCTACAGCCAAAGCAACAGTCAAATGGAGAGTTGGCATACCCCTAGAACACGTCTTTCGTGCCAGTGGGAAAGTCCTTCCTCCCTCCAGTGAAGACTAACTCACGGCCGGAAGTGGGCAAAATAAATAGTTGAGAAGTTTCATTCTCTTTTTCTGTCCTAAATAGTTAAGACTGCCTCCGCCCACCGAGGGCAGTGTTCTCTTCATTGAAGCAAGCGAATACAAATGAGTTCCTCCAGCAAAACTTCTCTTATCTGTCTTGCTTCTTCGAATCACAGCTCAGGGCCTGAGTCATTTGACCTTTCAGCTGCATAAACACATAAGTGTTGTATTCAGTCTAAGACATGAGCAATGAAAGGCTCTGGGGATGTCCTGGACATGTTTTTTTTTTTCTTTGACTTCTCATTAAAGAATATAAATCTGGCCTGTAATAGTAATATGAATGTACAACTTCCTGACATTTCTGCAGGTTGCTGGCAGGGAGAGCTCTGCATCACCAGTTCTGCAAGTTATTTCCCCAGGCTCTTTGTCAATTCTTTTTTCTCTTGAAATACTCTAATTAGTGTTCTACTAATATATATTCAGCTAACCATCTGGAATGTCTTACATCCTTTCTTTTGTCTTATCAGCTTAGTATTTCCATTCAGGACATTTTATCTCTGTGCAAAGACAGGAGTAGAAGCTGATGAGTGGATCAAGATATTACGCTGGAAATTGGTGAGTTACACAAGTCTTCTGGCTGCCTAGCACCCAGAAATGGCGTGTTGATGACTTCAAACATATTTCTGTTGAGTCAGACTATCCCCGAGAATCAATGGGCTGTCTCCTTGCAGGCTCGTGGAATGGTCTGTTTGTTATTCTGGGACATGGAATGGGTGGAGTCAGGGGTAAAGAGAAAAAGGGTGGAGCTGCTGGGGTCTCAGCCCCTGAACTTTGGCCTCCTGCCCGAGCAGCTACCCCTCTTCCTTTAAGCGTGTAAGTTGATTCACTTTTGCCTGGAGCAAGACATTTGGGACCAGAAGGTCAGACAGAGGAAAGTTGACATCTTTCTATAGGAGAAAATCCTTTTAAACTGTCAGAGAAGGATGCTCGCCAGTGGAATTTCGCTTAGTTTCCAGTGTGTTACTTTGTGCAGTTCAAGAACAAAAGGTAATTTATTTTATCAGCTTTCTATAAACCTCCCAGCAGGAGGATGGAGTGCTTCTTAAAATTTACGTCTCACGCATTTTTTGTATCTGTTTGCAAGTCAGTGAGTTGTTAGCCAAGAACGTGCCCTTAACGTTTTCTGAAATTTCCTATAGATACCATCTTAAAAGTCTGTTTTCAAACATGCACAATTTTTCCTATATGTTTTTTAATGCAATTAGCTGATATCCAGAATCTTGTTGACTACTCCTTTCTAGATTCTGGGACTTTTGCTTTTGGTTATCTTTTCTGTTGAGAGCCAAATAAATATACTGTACCACTCGCTTTGAGATAGTTCCAATGTATTTGCTATTCACTGGGAAATACTTTGCCATATGAAACCTTTGCTCAGATATGAATCAGTTTTTCATTCTATTTGATAATTATGCAAGTGACATATAATGATTATAGAAAAATTAAGGTAAAAATATATCAAATACACACACTTTTGGACTTCTCCTTGTGCAAATAAATATTTAAAAACAAAATTTAATCATTCTCTAGTGTTCTTTACCTGCTCACTCCACTTAACAATATACTATGAACATCTCTGCATATCAATAAATTTACATCTATATCTTCACTGATTCATTGAATAGTATTATTGCATTTTATAGATTACTGTATTAAGCTAAATCCCAATTTGTACATGTTTTAGCAACCACTTACAATACTTCTCTTGAGAAAAATGCAAAAACCCCAGATTAAAACTGGGAGGGGGCACGTGATGATTTTTTTTTCAGTTGCATGGTTTCCTTACTCATCAGCATGTCTTATTTAATATTTGTTAAAAGCCAGAGTTCATTAGCTTAAAATTGCCCAATAATAAATACACACACGTGTGTTTTATTACAGTCTCAAATAAGAAAACAACTTGACCAACGGGAAGGCACCATCCGATCTCGGTCCTTCATCTTTAAATAGATCTTTCTTGATGACGGATGCCCTGGCCCAGGAGCAGCGTGGGATGCTCCCTGATGCTGTGATCCATAGCAGGCTCCAGCCAAGCTGACTAAGGATTTTTCTTTACAAACAAATCAAAAGCAGATGCTGATTTGGACCTTTCAGAACACAGCACATTTGCTGGCTCAAGGAAAACTGCTGCCCCTCGAGATGTTGTCATCTCCTTGAGAATACCAGCCATCATCGTTCTGATGGCAACCGACGACAGCCCCACGCCGGGTGTGCTCACTCTTAGAACACAATGTAAGATAAACGGGTTTTGTTTTCCCTCATTGTGGTCCCCAAGCTGGCTGACATTACCCGAAGTCCCACTCTGCGGCACGGGTGGCTGTCCTGACGGCCAGGTCGTGCTGATAAGCAGGAAGGAAACAGCTGCACACTGTGAGGCTTAGGCTGCTTCTTCAGAAAGTACATCAAGACAGCAAACATCGACGATTTGGGGGCAGTGTCTGTTTTTGCTTTTTCTAATCCTTTATATAGAAAAACAAAACAATTTCCAAAACTAAAATGGAAAATGTTTGCGCTATTTATTTTCTCGTTGTAGAAGGCTCAGAAATCCAGTGGGTCCTTCCTTCCCTTCTAATGATAAACCTGTGAGAACTAAATGTCCTGTGGGTGATTAAGTAGGATGATAAAGATAAAGTAAGATACAATCTAAAAAACACCTCTTTTAATCATTTTGTGGGAAATGTTTTAAGATTGAGAAAACATAAATCATGGAAGGGTAATAATGTAGTAGATAAGTTTAATAATAATTATTATTATAACTAATAATAACTATAATAGTAATTATTATTACATCTCTAACAATAATAGAGGACTTGTAAGCACTAAGTTATCTTCACACAACATTTCCCCAAACAGCCTGAAAGAGACTTCTCAAGGAGAGTGTCTTAGGACAATCTCTCCTGGAGCGAGCTGTAGGGTTGGCCCAAGAGGAGGAAGAACCACTTTGCACTGAGATGCTGAGCACCCTGCATCTTATTCAGGAGCAACTTCTGCTGCCAGCTGAGGGAGCAACACTAAATGCGCATGCGATGTCTAATGAGGTGTTTGTCACGTGGCATTTTCAAACTAGGGTAAGGCGATTGAAACAGGAGAATGAGATCCTGGCATCCAGAGCTCATGAATAGGTTCTAATCCCTTCTATTATCTTTGTTAATACTGCTTTTTTTTTTTTTTTGAGGAAGGCTAGCTGTCAGCTAACATCTGCCGCCAATCCTCCTCTTTTTGCTGAGGAAGACTGGCCCTGAGCTAACGTCCATGCCCATCCTCCTCTACTTTATGTGGGATGCCCACCATGGCATGGCTTGCCAAGCGGTGCGTACATCCGCAACCGGGATCCGAACTGGCGAACCCCGGGCCGCCAAAGCGGAACATATGAACTTAACCGCTGCGCCACGGGGCCAGCCCCAAATACTGCTTTTTTAGATTGAAGTTTGAAGGGAGATAAAAGTGGAGGAAGAACCCCAAAATAAAAAGATTCTGGTGCAAAGCTATGACAGAACACCACTCTTGCAGTCTGAAGGGTGACCTTGTTAAATAAGTTTTTTCTGTTATTTAAACATCTAGGACTCAGAAATTACATTACATTTTTGTGTATTTCAACAAGGTTTTCAATGTATTTTGTTATGTTAGTATCATACAGGATAAAGCAAGTGTCAAGGTATTGTATCCAGTTTGCAAAGTAAGGAGTTACAAACGAGTCCTCACTCAGAGGTCTGCTTTCATGTTTTGTCTTGTCAGAGCCAAGCATATTTCTTTGTGTAGGTAACATTGATTTTACTTTTTGTAAAATATATAATGTTTATTTATATTCTTTGGTTATGTTTATTAAAAAGAGCATGATTTTGCTGTGCCTGTACTATTTTGCTATTAAAATATAGTTTTAATACTTATAATTTAAAAGAAATACAACTGACTAATATCATAAAGAGCCAACAAAGGATCCACTTTGGTTAGACTAAGAGCTAAGAGGATTCAGAGTGGAGGAAATAGTCCCGGCCCTCAGGGAGTCCTTAGTTGAATGTGGAGAAGATAAGAAATACATACATGATAATGTACAGAAGTGAATAAGATAAATACTGCAAGTGAGGCACAAAGCCATATGATGGAGAGCATGCTTCAACGAGGGTAAAGCCATGTTTTGGAGGGTTTTGACATGAAAAGGGCAAGCTAGCATATACCCACTATGTACGACGCTAGACACTGACTTTCTCTCTGAAAAGTGGTCACGATTTCAGCCCCTGAAAGAAGCCTGGGGAAGGGCCCGCAAAGATTTCTCCAAGTCCAAGATGGGGGAGGACGTTCTGTGCCAATGGCAGATCGGAATGGGGTTGTTTAGAATAGCTGGTGGGGTGTCTGTGTCAGGCCCTGGCTGCTCACAGGTATGTGCTTATCATAAGGATGTACCTCTTAAGACACAGCCAAAGCATTAGCAGCTACTCTCAGAATTCCCCCTGGGAATGTCATGTCCCACAGCAGCACTGTGCCCTCTGGACCAGGAAAGTGACCCCCATGGTGGGGATGGCTATTACTGCCTCTGAGGGAAACTTGCCCCCTATTCCCAAGCCGCTGGATGTTGGGACACTCAGTGGGCCAGAGCCTTTCTCTTCTCACCCATGTGGGATGCAGGAGAGTGGGCTCTTCGGTCCTCACCTCTCACACACACCAGGCATGAGGGTCAGGAAGTCACACTGTGTCACTGTTTCAGGCAGAGAGCAAGAGAGCTATTATAGGGTGGACATCAATCCTACTTTGCTCCTCTTCCGTTACTGCAGGTTGGCTGCAGGAAACCTACATTTTTGCCAAACTCTTCCCAGCCAAGCCTGCTGTATGGCAGAGTTCCAGCTCGAACCTCCACTCTGCTCAGTACAGATCCAGGCTGGCTGGGTGTGGTGTCAAGCAGAGTTTCTTACATCATCTGTAGTGCAAGACCAGATTTTCTTTTTTTAAATTTCTGATCTATCACAGACTAGGATTTTGTAAAATCCAATAAAAATAAATTAGAAAACTGAACCAAAAAATACGAATATCACAGTCTTATTTTTTATTATCAGGTTCTACAGACATAAAGTTACTATGTTAAATTGCTGCAAGTTTTTAAACACTTTCTCTGAATTTCTGTACTGACCTTGTCACGTACTGCTAACAGACAGAACAGCCCAGTTTGTGGACCACATTTTGAGTAGCTCTGATCCAGCAGACTGGCGTGTCAAAGAAACCAAGAGCCTTCTTGAGAAAGAGTTCGCCTAAGGTAGAGAGGGTTGAGGTCTTGATGGATTATGGACGCCCGTTACAGGGGAAGGGCAGTTCCGAGCACATTCTTGTCTCTTATTCAGCCTCTCAGCAAAATCTAAAGAAACTGTTTCTCTAGGGTCTCAAGGGACAGATATTGAGATTGTAAGTCGTGTCACATTTACCGCTGGGAAGATGGTGCCCTTAGCCTTCAGCAGCCTCTAGCACCCACGTTCCCAGTCAGCAGCAGGGGCAAGGGCCAGGGTTTGAGGGGCAGAGTTCATCCCAGAGAGCAGAACAAGAGCAAATGAAGTTGGAAGGTGCCATGTGGTGACTGTGAAAACAGACAGGTTTCAGGAGTACATGTAAAGGCCTCTCTGAGGATGCCCAGAAATATCTGGAAGAGACCTGAGAGGGACTGGATTTTGCACAGAAGCAGCAAGGATGGAACCAGAGAAGTGGGTCTGGTGAGTTCCTGAACCTGTGGTTATTTCCCGTTCCAGAATGCATAATTGGCATAGACATACTCAGCAACTGGCAAAATACTCACATTGGTTTGCTGACTTGCAGAGTGAGGGCTATTATGGCGGGAAAGGACAAATGTAAACCACTGGAACTGCCTCTACCTAGGAAGACAGTAAACCAAAAGCAATACCGCATTCCTGCAGGGACTTCAGAATGCCACCCTCAAGGACTTGAAGGATGCAGGGGTGGTGGTTCCCACCACATCCTGGTTCAGCCCACCTGTTTGACCTCTGCAGAAGATAGACATATCCTGGAGAGTGAGAGTAGATTATCACAAATTTAACCAGATGGTGACTCCAACTGCGGCTGCTGTTCCAGATGTGATTCCATTGCTTGAGCAAATTAACACATCCCTGAGATCTGGCATGCAGCTATTGATCTGCCAAATGTTTTCTTCTTGAGACCTGTTAGTAAAGACCACCAGAAGCAATTTGCTTTATCTGGCAAGGCCAGCAGTACACCCTTCACTTATTTTTAATAGTTTATTTTTTCTTCAGCCCTTTGTCGTAATTCAGTCCAGAGGGACCTCGATCACATTTCCCTTCCACAAGACATCACACTAGTCCATTGCATTGATGATATTGTGCTGATTGGACCTAGTGAACAAGAAGGAGGAACTACTCCAGACTTATTGGTAAGACATTTGTCTGTCTGACGGTGGGAAATAAATCTAGCAAAAAATTCAGGGGCCTTCTACCTCACTGAAATTCTAGGGGTCCAACGGTGTGGGACAGGTCAAGATATCTTTTCTAAGGTATAATTTGTGGCATTTGGCCCCTCCCACAACCAAAGAAGGACAATGCCTAATGGGCTTTTTTGGATTTTGGCAGAAATCTATTTCTTAAATTACTCATGGAATTCGTTGGTCTTACCATATTCCCCACCATCCTGAAGCAGCTGGCTTGATAGAACGGTGGAATGGCCTTTTGAAGACTCAGTTACAGCACGACCTAGCTGGCAATCCCTTGCAGGACTGGGGCAGTGTCCAGGAGGCTATAAATGCTGTAAATCAGCATCCAATATTTGGTGCTGTTTTTCCATGGCCAGGATACGCGGGCCCAGGAATCAAGGGGTGGAAATGGGCATGGCACACCCACTATTTACCCCTAGTGACCTCCTGGCATAATTTCTGCTGCTTGTCTCCAAGTTCTTATGCTCTGTTGGTCTAGAGGTCTTTATTCCAAAGGGAGGATTGCCTCCACCAGGGGACACAACGATGATTCTATTAAACTGGACATTAGGACTGCCACCTGTCTACTTTGGTCTCCTCATGCCTCTGAATCAATAGACAAAGAAGGGAATTACCGAACTGGTTCGAGCGACTCATCCTGATTACTAAG